CTCTCATGTTAGTTCAAGGAAACATCGGGAGAGTTAAGAAATTGGGTGTGGTCGTTGGGAAAAGTGGGCGTGGTTCGAACATAACTCTCCGAAATCATAACTCTCCGAGATAACTCTCCACTTCATAACTCTCCGTTTAGCCGGTCTCGATGTGCTGGATACTGCTTTACTGGATACTGATGGTGGCACTTGGACAATATGCCACTAACAGTGGTGTAACGCAACCGCTGGGGGCCCTCCGTCAATCGGCCATTTTGGGCCCCCTTTGCTCCACTAAAAATAGGCTCCAAAATTTTTTCTCGGAACAATTTATTTTTGGCGACCTCCCCCCCCCTCCCCCCCTCGGTCATTGGGATTAAATTATTCTAGTATATGGTCCTTTTCCTCAGTCGCGACGTACTTAATCCGTCTCAGCTTCGGGAATGTTATGTGTACCCCCCCCCAATTTCTCCACGGATTTAGCCTTTTCCAGAGAATTTTTTTTTTAATTCAATTCAATTCAATTAATTCAATTCCCCAGAAATGTGCTATCAAATTTTTTATGGTCATTTTTGTCGTGGGCCCCTAAAGTTCGGGGGCCCCCCGTCACTGGACACCCTGACACCCTCCCGTTACGCCACTGGCCACTAACTTTTTGTCATACAATATAGTCCATGCATTGTCTGTTTAGTGTGTGGGACAAGGATTGTTCGTCAGACACAGCAGAGTACACAGCTAGTTTACATCACAAAAAACCTGTAATTTCGTTTTTAATGTGTCGCATGTCCAGTAGACTAGTTGTTTGTGTTTCACAATATCTTAATGCAAAACAGTTGGTTTTGTACTAGATATATAGTACCGTGGATGTCTACATTTTTACTGGATATCGGATACCGGCGTACCGCCACCGGTATCAGCAAATCCCTAGACCTCATTTAATTTTTAGGGCCCACATTATGTTACAAAGATAATACTTGCCTTTTCCAATACCTCTACAAATTCCAGGATGCATCTGAAAAATATGAAGAAATATCAAATATGCAATATTGCCCTCTTAAAGGTCAGTCAAGAAAATGACACTGAATGACACCCCAATAGGCCCATAGTACAGTCAAGAATGGACCTTAAAAAACTGGCGTCTTCAAAAGGAAACGAAGTGCCTTGGCATTTTGATGGGACTAGTGGGACAAACATAAGTGACTGTATTATTAATATAAAGTGATTAAAAATAATTTTTTATAAAATCATTTTATTATTTTTTAATACATGTGTTATGTCTATAATTTATTTTAAAAAAATGTCTAACTAACCTGACTGGCGATACGTGACGTTGACCTGATAATATTACCTAAAAATTTTGTCCCTGACATATTTTTTGTTAGTTTGTTTACAATTTTGTTTACTGTTTACAATATGATCAAATTATAAATACACACGTGAAGACTTGCCCGAGCCTGTTGTACTTATGTACTGGATATCGACGATACTTCAAGTAACAGCATATAGCATGTCCTGACGATATTGTATTTGAAAAGTCAACTTATGTTTTTTCCGAGAATTTATTCCAGATAAAAATATAACGCAATTAAACGCTAAAATCTCACACGGAAAATTAAAAAAAGATTTAAAAAATTGTAAGGGAAATTTTTATGACAAAATCTCTGATCGAAATATTTCCTATGATATTTAGGGAAATCTAGGGATATCTAGTAAACACCCTTTTATGAAACGTGACAGCCCCAAATATCCCCCACACACAGTGTCAATATGGCGCACACGTTTGCAAAAAAACCGTAAAAAACAATGCGTCTTTAAACAAATTTTAATTCCTTTCTCTGGCTTTTATCGTACGATATCATGCGCTGTTTGAAGACGCGAACCGTACTCGGTCTTCTAACAGCGGCATGGCTTATAGGAGTGGTTTACTTTCTCAGTGATATAAGAAGCCCTGAACAGTCGACTCATGACGGAGACTCGTATTTAGAAGACTATGACAAATTTATTGATAATAATGATTTTCACGGAAGAAACACTGCTCCACTTGATGATCTAAGGGTAAGCCATAAGTGGTTTTATGATTTAAAAGTATTGTAGTTTAGAAATTGCGTGTTAATTCAAAATATATTGACTATTGTAATGATACAATAGGATGCAGATAATTTTTAATATAAAGTTTATATAAAAAAATATATAATAATATACTGTATGTGATTGTGTATGTATAATTAACTTTTGGTATTGAAAATTGTAACAAAATTTCTTGTCAGTTTGTTTGAAAAAGGAATTATTAATTGAAGTTTACGATTCTCCAATATACCAATGGGTTGTATTCTAATTCTTCAGTGACCATGAATTGAAGTACCGTATATGACTCAATATTTGTGAGTGACAAATATTATATTACACCTAATGTCTGCTCCCGAGGGAAATAGTTAATTTTACTAATTAGTTACTAGTTTCCCAAGGGAACAAGTATTTTGTTATAGAGTGATGAAAGAAAAATCAACATTCATACAACAATTCATTGTGTGTCATGACAAAAACTCTATAGTGTAAACAACTTTAATTAAAATTAAAAGGACCTCCTTAATTAAACGGTTTCAGGCTACTTTCAGCAATATAACATGTTGGCTGTTTTGTATTTTTCTTCTCTTTTAAATTTTTTATTTTAACACAAACTTGAAAAATCGTAGTTTATAACCGTAGTTTATAAACTTGTGTGTTGTACCACCATTTTGTTTCTCGAAGAGACTACAGTAGATAACTGGCAGTCACTTCATAATTATTTTGTAGAAATATAAAAACTTTAATTTGCATTAGCTTTTAGCAAACTTGCTGTTAGTGTATACGACAAAGTCCCTGCGTGCGGAAAGTGAAACACAGTCCGGGTTGGATTCGTTGTGGAGTGTGTTTTGTCTGTTAAAATTAAAAAATATTTTCTGCCTTTTCTAACTCTGAAAAGGTTAGGGTTAGAGAAGAGTTTGGGGTTGAGATTGTTTATCTTATAAAACTTCAACTTTAACTATAGTCACTATATAGCCGGCAGTTTACTAACACCCTTGGTTAACAAACTATGACAATAACAAATTTAAAATTTCTATGTTCCAAGTTATTGAACAATGTACTGTACATGACATGTTTGCTCACCTGTTACTGAAATAAACACAGGACCTCTTTGATGTATAGACATGATAATATCTCACAATACATCAGGGCTCAAAATAACAGGACATAGGTCTTCGGTCAAAATGACCGATCAACTTGATTTTAGCGCTGTCAAAATCTGTTTTTGATCGGTCATTGATACGCTTACACTAACAGTGAAACAAACTATTAGAAACTTGTTTCGATGTATCATACAATACTAGTTTCATGTTTTAATTCAAGACGTCGGCAATCACATTGGAAGGCATGAAAATGTGGCCGGTCAAAATGACCGGTGAGGTAAAAAAGTGACCAGTCAAGAGGCATTTATGGCCGGTCATTGTCCGCTGACCGGCCGTTATTTTGAGCCCTGTACATACAGTTTATTTAGTCTTTAAAGCTGCGTAAATATCAGGGAGTATTATAGTTTATTCAGTCTTTCAAAGTTTATTCAGTCTAAATATCTGGGACTTACAGTACTTCAAAGCTGGCACTGTGACCAGATTTTTCCAGCATTATTACTAAACTTTCTGTTCACAATTTATTAAATGAAGAAAAATGAAATTAATTTTGCCCCCACCTAATACACACCATCATGAAGACCCTGGGGAAGAGGTTGATCAATATAAGTTTGAATAAGTATTAGCTTAATGTACTGTAGGTAATGTTTTTGTCAGTACCGTAACAATAGTACAATCATGGCTTTTACAAGGCAATTAGGATGATTAGGCTAACCAGAAAACCCAATAATTTCCTATTCCTTTTTCGAAATTAGTGGGTTTTAGGCTAGACTGCAGTGTTGTTAATCACTTTTAGTACCTCTTATCACACAAGATACCATTCAAACATCCATTTTTACCTAAAATATTAAAATCCCTAAAGTATATGTTTGAAATGTACAGTATAAACCCAGGGACGTTGCTACAATTCAAAACGTTGGTCAAAGTTATGAAATCGTTCGCAACTTTAACAATATCTAAGCTTTGGTCGTGTTTGCGCTGAAACAATTGCAAGCCTTGCAATTGTTTTGACCCCCCCTAGTAAAACTAGCATGTCAACTAACGTTAATTTCAGGTTGGAAGTGACTTCCGTTGGGCAAAAACAGACCTACTTGATTAATCGAACCTGCGGGCCTGCGATTCCGGTGCACCATGCTCTAACCAACTGAGCTACAGAACCCAGTTGGTGAGCATTATCCACAAGTTCATGTATAATTATATGGATTTTCTGGTGTGCGGGTTATGATAAGGTGAACTTGAAAGATTTTTCCTGCACCTCACTTGGTTGAGACAGAATATTGGAAAAGATGGATGATCCAAATGACCTACAGTAGTGTAGTGTTGCATTTTTTTTGCAACAAATTTTTGGTTAGGTATGAAAAGTGTATACAGTATACAGTATATCGTCATTTGGATTATCCAACTATGGATCTGCCCCAATATATGTATAAGCTGGACTGCTTCTACATATATTGGATCGAAAAAAACCCAACTTTTCTCTTTCTACAGGTCACAGCTGCACATACTGAAGTTAGGAAACATATTAGGAAATTACCATTGGATGGAAGAAGTATAGAGAATTTTGATGCTCAAGGTTATTTAGCAGGAGCGAAGTTAAAAGAAGGGCAGGACCCTTACGCAAATAATGCTTACAATCAGAAAGCGAGCGAAGATGCATCTTTTAATCGTGACCCACCAGATGTCAGACATTCACAGTAAGTTTTTTCAGAATTAAATTCTAGTACGGAATTTTTGTAATCTTCAAAATTGGATTATACCTGTTGTATAGTAATGCATGATAATGATGTCCCATGCGCCACCGAGCGATTGGTTATAGCGACAAAATTCACCATGAAAAAGTACATTGACTCGATCTTTGCCTTAATTTCCGTACTTCACCTATGCTGTATTTAAGTTAGTAGCGACTTAGTGTTGTGTGGAAATGTCTTGTTCTCTAAAAGTCCCTTCTATTCTTGAAAATAATCCATCCATGAATGCAAGTTAATGTCTTGGGTCAATTGGGATATATAAAACGGGATCCAAGGGCGTACATTTGAATTGATCCAATTTTATCCTAGCTTTTCTCATTGCTTTTTGATTTTTCCACTAGTTGTAACAATATGTAGTTCACAATAATTGGTACATAATTATGCTTCATTTGCGGCTCTGTACCTTATGGTAGTAGCCCTGGTCAATCATATACATATTTTTTATCATATGAACAGATGCCAGTCAAAATCATGGCCAAGTGATTTACCTACAACAAGTGTTATAATATGTTTTCATAACGAAGGAAGGGCAGCGTTACTTAGGACTGTTGTCAGGTCAGTGAAAATGTACAGTTTAACTGTAACTGTTCATGTAGTAAATACTGGTCATTGTAATGGAACGAATAATGGTGGAAATTAAATGAGTGAGTGAGTGGAGGTGTGCTAATCGTTCTTACTTGCAGCTGAGAGCTAAGCTGAATTGCTGATTCCAGCTGTACAGACGAAATTTTGATCTAGACAAGAAGAACGAAATCCATTACCATAGCTAGAAAGAGCATCTCAAAATGAGTAAAATTATGCAAGTTTGGTTTCGAATTGTTGTAAAATGAGGAAAATATAGTCCTGTGAAATTCGCAAATTTTGTATATATTTGCATTATGCGCGGGAAAAATAACCATTTTTGAGCCGAAAGTCATTATTTTTGCCGCGCGTAATCACTAAATATATACAAAATTTGCAGGGCTATATATTTTTTCATTTTACAACATTTCGCAACCAAACTTTGCAGTTCTACTCGTTCTAAGACGCTCTTTCTAGCTGTGGTGTTAGACTTCAATCGTTCTTCGATCTTGCCTTGATCAAAATGTAGTCTATCGCTGGAATCACCCATTGCGAAGGACACCTCAACCCGATCGAGTCGAACGCTTCGCCACCTTATATGACTGTGATTGCGGAGCACAGCCACGATGCGAGGGTCAGTTAGGGCCTATAATCCCAATTAGCCCACCCTGTCAAAATTCCCTGTAGAGGGAAGTCCGGAGTACTCGGAGAAAACCTCCGACCGCGGACTCTTTTCACACAAGGCCTAACGCCAGACAAATTTACTGGTCAATGGGAGAGTGCTGCCACTCAACGGGTTAAAGTGCCTATGCAAGAATTTTTTATGATTAAATTGCGAAGTTCATTTAAAATCGTAATGTAACTTTTTCTCAAAAACTTTGTTATCTTTCCTGTATATCAGGATATTGGACTTTGTATGATGTATTTTATAGAAGACTGTTTTTTAGCTTGATAAGATTGTCATTAACTCAAATGTGCAGACGAAATGATATCTTTCATTGATAGTTCTTAAAGTATATAACTTTCAAGTCTTTCAATGTAAGTGGAATTACCACATATTTGGCAAGGAAACGTTTTCTTTCGAAAAACTCATCATGCAGTGTAATGTCATTTAAAGGTGATCTACAGTCCGTATGTAAACAAAGCCTTTGTTTACATTTTTGTGTCCAAAATATTGAGCTTTATTTGACAACTATTTATATTTTCAAGCTTCTAGAGTATAATAAATGATCAAGAAACAACAATCAGGCTTTTCAAGAACTCAAAACATAGTTAAACTGTTTGTATCATAAAAAGTGGGCTCATTTGTGCACATGCGCAGATCGGACTGTAGATCACCTTTAAGATTTTAAGTCAACATTTGCATATCAAACAAAGTCGAAAATCTTGACATCCAGGAAAGATAACTAAGTTTTAGAAACTATGTTATTTTATGATTTTAAACGAACTTTGCAATTGAATCATAAAATAATTCTTGCATGGGCACTTTAATGATGAAAACTAATTTGGCTGTTCAAGTTAACCATGCAGGCATGTTTTTCTTTCCATATTTAGCGTACTTTTGCAAACACCGGGGCATTTACTCAAAGATATAATTTTAGTTGACGATGACAGTAAAAATCGTGAGTATTGAACCAAATGTCAAGAGAAAAATTGTGTCATTTCAGTTAGGGTATAAGATAGGCGAAAAAAGGTTAAACTATGTTTTCTCAAATTTTCAGCTGACGATGGAAAGCTCTTAGAAAAACTTCCTAAAGTAAAAACGATACGAAATAACGGCAGAGAAGGTATCATGTAATTGACTTATTGACTGTAACCAAGGGAAACAGTAGAGAGGCTCAGATTTTGCTTCCACTTTACTGCTATCACTACAATACCTCTCACTGGCTTAGTGCAAAAAAGCTGCGGGTATGCAGGTAGCACCTGTGAAGAAGGTTTATCATACTGTATGTGAGGTCACTGAGGACGGTTTAATATGGAACACTCTACTCAACACTAACATCATAAAACAAATGAATGATACTTGTGTGCTGGTAGTTTTGTAGTATGACATTTCATAACAGCATCTTTCTTGGCAGGGGTGGAAAAAATACGCGCGCACTGCTCGCAGGAAATGTTGCAGTTGATTTCACGATACTTTGGCCACGCCAGTTGCGAGGTTGGTTGGGAATTTGGGAACTATAAACACGAGATCATCAAGTTGATTGGAAACCGGCCAATCAAATTCGAAAGTTTCGCATCAAATTATCGAAATTCGTTATGAAATTCCGAACCAAGTTCGCAAGCAAGTTCGCAAATTGCAAACGATTTTGGCGGTAAATTTTAAGAATTAAACTTATTGTATTAAACTTATTATAATTTTAAACCTGAAATTATTATTGTTATGATATTATTTATTATTAAATGAATAAGTTTAATACAATAAGTTTAGTTTTTAAAATTTACCTCCAAAATCGTTTGCAATTTGCGAACTTGCTTCATAACGAATTTCATAACGAATTTCGATAATTTGATGCGAAACGTCCGAATTTGATTGGCCGGTTTCCAATCAACTTGATGATCTCGTGTTTATAGTTCCCAAATTCCCAACCAACTTCGCAATTGGCTTGGCCAAAGTTTCGTGAAATCAACTGTAAACAGCTGCAGGAAATTCGTTTGAATGAAGATTTACCATTGAAAATTTGAAGGAAACCTTAACACCCATGTCCCACTATTATGGGCGCAACAACATATCGTTGACAGACATTATTCTTTCAATTTAAAATGATGGTCAGCTAGAACCAGTACATGTTTATACACATGCAGATTTAGCACAAAAATACTCCATTGGTCTGCAAGAAATTTTTGTCTCCAGGTTATGCTCCCAGGAAGAAAATTCTTTTTGCTGCCCTGTTAATTTCTTGGGAACGGCGTTTCTGTAGCAAAGTAGCCGCCAGCCTGTACTGTTTGTCTGTATATGCGAGTATAATGCAATCAACCAGCTGATCAATGCTAAATGCTAGTCAGTTTAGGAAATATAAATAAGAAGCCGATTTTGAATACTTATATATTTTGCGATTCGGGAAAAAGCCATAATTTTTAAGGTTTGAAAACTTGGAACTTTGCCTGCAGAAGGTTGAAAACTTTTTGAAACTCTGTAATCGGATATATCGAACGCATCTGATTGGTTAACGGACCTTTAATGGTAATAGTAGTGGAAGTCAAACCTGAACCTACTGTATCCAGTATGTTGTGTGGACCCGAGATTCTCATTGGCAAATCAGGCTAATATCAGTTCCCTACTTCCCAGTGATTGGCCGATTGTTTAAATTGTAGGCTGGTCATGGTTTTCGGAAATTACCGATTACCGATTATTCATGCAACAATCTACCCGATAGCGATTTTGTAATGACGTCATAATGTCAGTCGACCGAATATAGGTGACGTCATTCATTTCGATTATGTAACGATAATTTCCAACGAAACATGCTACTGTACGTTGTTAAAACCGTTCGTAAATGGCACGCTTCACGCATTAATTTCGTCTCGGCAAGATATTGTGTTAAAATGCAACGTCTATCAACACGCAAGCCAATGTATATCATTTTTAAAGTGCGTATTTTCTCAACAATCGGAAATACAGGTAATTCTACTGATTCCGATTGTTTACCGATAAGGCAAAAGTCGGCCCGATACCGATTATCGGTCAATTACTGCTATTTTCGAGGCATTTAAGTGTATTTCTCTTGCTAGGTTTGATCCGCAGTCGAGTGAAGGGAGCAGATCTTGCCAGAGGGGATGTACTGACATTCTTAGATAGCCATTGTGAATGTAATAAACATTGGATCGAACCATTACTGATGAGAATACAGGAGGTACAATAGCTTTGTCTATAAGGGCGTAACTTGGGTCTAATCGTTAGGAGGTGTGGACTCGCTTTGCGCGACAAAAAGGGTGTGGTCAGAAAAGAACATAAAGATGTTGGAAAAACTAAAAGGGGTAGCGTCGAAGGTCATAGTGAACCTGGTCCTGTGGGCCTAGGGACGTTGAATGCACGAGACCGTAATGGGGTATGGGGGCATGCTGCAACATAATATTGTGAAGTTTAGAGTCTCTGTCATTTCATGCACTTTGGGGGACGATTTTACATGATTGTGGTGGTCAGAAAACAACGTAAATAAGAAAAGCAAATTTTTAAAATTGCTCAAAAGAGTTCTGATTTATTTCTTTAGAATCGTAAAATTTTGGTGTCTCCTATAATTGACGTTATTAATATGGATAATTTTCAATACCTGGCTTCATCACCCGACTTGCGTGGAGGTAGGCTAGAAAATTATGCTTAGAATGTTAGCATATAATTTGAAGTATTTAACAGATAAAAGCAAGATGTTTTTGTTGTTGATGATGCTGTAGTTAAAATCCACATCAATTGTTCTAATCTTTATTTTTTTGTATCGTTAAAGGGTTCAGCTGGAATATGAATTTTAAATGGGATTATCTTCCTCAACATGTCTTGGCTGGAAGACAAAATGCTCCAATCTCACCAATTAAGTAAGACACTCTAATTATATCTCTATATAACAGACTGGCTATAATTTGTATGGGTAATTATGTCATGGCGATTGGTGAGTACAATGAAGAATTAACAGTACACGAGTCATGAGTAAAATGTTTTACCAAAAAAACCTGGGTACGTTAAATATTTTGTATCTTATAAGCACAATAACACCCAACCTCGTACCCAGTCTCTTTTTATGACCCATTGAAATAGTGGACTAAAGTAAACTATTTGGTCTTTGATCTTAAAGCATATGGTCATTTACTTCGCTCAAACGCCGAGATTGCCCGAAATTTGGGCACATTTTGTACCAAATTGGCTGGAGCTGCTTCTTAAAATCTGACCTTTGAAATTTGTTGTTTTGCAGCTCAATTTTATCTTTCGTGATGTATTGTGAGTGCGCAATGAACTAATGTGTAGGCCCACAGATCGGACTTTTAATTCATTGAAACAAGCATGTAAACAAGACACGCGCCTGGGCAGAACGTACTTGACTGCCACTCCATTCATTTCCAAACATAATCAGAATTTCATTTGATGAAGTTCGTGAAATTCTGAAAAGAAAAAAAAACAAATTCACACTAGTTACTGTACCATTGAACTACCAATTTGAATTTTTTTTTAATATATGCGATATTTTCTCCACAGGACGCCTGTCATAGCTGGTGGTTTGTTTTCAATTTCAAAACTTTGGTTTAATGAATTAGGAAGATATGATCCGGATATGGATGTATGGGGAGGAGAAAACTTAGGTTGGTTAAATATTAATGGTGTACTGTATGTGTTATTTTTGGGAGAAGTACTGTACACAGGGCCGTTGGAAGCTGGAGGAGGCGGGGGGGGGGGATTGTATGAGGATTGTATTTCTTCCATGAGGATTGTATTTCTTTTCATACTTTATTTCTTTCTTACACAGGCAATTACAATCAACTTATCCGTACAGTAAAAGTTCGTTGTTATATTGAAAATGTGTATACAGCTAATTCAAAAAAAGATTGTCCTGAACCTTAAACTCTAAACATTAAACCTTAAACTCTAAGCGTGTAAAGCATAATCGGAGCATCATTTAACCAGTTTAGAAATCATATATGCATGGGGCCCATTTCTTACAGAAATGGTAAATATCTCCTTATGAGAACACTTCATTCACAAAAGCTGCAATATTCGACTATTAAGCTTGAAACCCGTGTTCCGACTAAGCTTTGCACGCTTAGAGTTTAAGGTTTAGAGTTTAAGGTTTGCAAAGGACAACCTTTTTTGAATTAGCTGTATATCAGTAGGAACAAAACCAATTCATTCATGCTTGTGATTTCATACCGAGCAAATGTTGTTTGAAAACAGCGGGGATGAATTACTAACAACATGTATTTAACTCAATTTGTTGTCCATTCTTTTGCAGAAATATCTTTCCGTGTATGGTTATGTGGTGGCGAGATGGAGATCATGCCTTGCTCAAGAGTCGGTCATGTTTTCCGAAATAGACATCCTTACGACTTTCCTGGTGGAAGCATGAATGTCTTTCAAAAGTAAGACACTAATAACAGATTAATTTCAGTACCATCCTCAGAGAATAAAAACAACTAGTTTCATGTACTATTCTATAGCACTTCAGAGTAAAATGGGTGATTCCAGTTATAAACTAAATTTTGATCAAGGCAAGAAGAACGAAATCTAACACCACAGCTAGAAAAGTTTTTTTTGTGATATGATGTTTCTTCAAAACTCGTCTCAGAATGCAAGAAATACTGTTCAAGGGATCTTATAGATTTCTCTTCTGTACCCGCCCGTTGGCACTGGTCTTCGAAATCTATGTTCCCCAGTGTTCCCCCAAAGTCAAACTTTTGCAACACCACTGCAAGTGATGAACATGGCCTTGCAGTTTGACTCTTCCAAAAACCATAAATTTTGTACGGGCACTTTGATTTCCTCCCGCAGTAATTCTGCATCGACAACAGTAACACTAGGATCAATGAGGGATATAGTCCTATACTGTATATACTAGACCTAGACCAGTTTAGATTTCCTCCCGCAGTAATTCTGCATCGACAACAGTAACACTAGGATCAATGAGGGATATAGTCCTATACTGTATATACTAGACCTAGACCAGTTTAGATTTCCTCCCGCAGTAATTCTGCATCGACAACAGTAACACTAGGATCAATGAGGGATATAGTCCTATACTGTATATACTAGACCTAGACCAGTTTAGATTTCCTCCCGCAGTAATTCTGCATCGACAACAGTAACACTAGGATCAATGAGGGATATAGTCCTATACTGTATATACTAGACCTAGACCAGTTTAGATTTCCTCCCGCAGTAATTCTGCATCGACAACAGTAACACTAGGATCAATGAGGGATATAGTCCTATACTGTATATACTAGACCTAGACCAGTTTAGATTTCCTCCCGCAGTAATTCTGCATCGACAACAGTAACACTAGGATCAATGAGGGATATAGTCCTATACTGTATATACTAGACCTAGACCAGTTTAGATTTCCTCCCGCAGTAATTCTGCATCGACAACAGTAACACTAGGATCAATGAGGGATATAGTCCTATACTGTATATACTAGACCTAGACCAGTTTAGATTTCCTCCCGCAGTAATTCTGCATCGACAACAGTAACACTAGGATCAATGAGGGATATAGTCCTATACTGTATATACTAGACCTAGAC